AGCACTATGGGACCAGGCTCTAGGCATTCTGCAGCACAAAAATCCTGGGTTTTAAAGGGAAAGAAAGTCCCTGGATTCTGCAAGCAGCTGAATTTAAATTTAAAAAGGGGAGACAGCAAATGAAATGCAAATGTTTATGTCCAGGTACAGTAGCCCTGGTGGTGTGTTTTGATATTAAATTCAACTCAGCCTCATAACTGCCATTTTTAATATACACCAGATATTCACAGGAACTCTTATTTAGGGGGAAGCTGGTGGCTGGAGAAAGGGTGGGGCTTTGGGAATATGGGAGGCAGTTTGCAATTGTGGAATAACCACTTCAGCTAAAAGTTTCAGCCTAAATAATGAGCAGTGAAACAGACAATTTACATATTACATCTTAGGTTCCACAGGTTCTCATAGCACTTACATGAATGGGCCAGTTCACACACCACAGAGCTCTTTAGGCCGTTTGGAGAGACTAGTACCATCTGTTCACTGACATACATTATTTGTAGTTAGAGAGTCTTCTTGCAACCCAGGAGAACTAGAAATGTATTTTTAAAAATTGATTCTGAAGCACCAGTCTACAGTAAGGGATAAATCCCCCATAATTTCCATGCCACATATAGGCCCTACTTTAGGCATCTTGAGGGAAGCATACAAACACATTCCCACCACCAACTGAGAGGAAAGAGGACAGATTTCTCCACTGCTAGCAAGCATTCCACTTTATAGGTTCAACTGATTTTTTCTTGGATTGTGGCCACATAGCAAATATCTCTAAGGATAGAGACTGAAGATCCAGGAATTCTTTTTCAGCTTACCTTAATGAGGTATCTGGTAATATCCCTCCCAGCAATGTCTAGTCGTCTTGTAAGATGAGGAAGGGAGAAACCTTCATAGACTGGGCAAATATGAGTGACACCATCTCCAGAGTCCACAACAACACCAGTCAATAAGCCTAAGTAAGAATTGTAATATGGAGAATATTACACTACATTGGGGTTCTCATCTGGACAAACCAGATGGCCAACATATTGTCCTGATGATGAGAAACCTTTCCCCTTGCAAGGGAAGTGTGATCCCATTTTAAAATACAATATTGTACTACAATTAAGTGTTCTACTTCATTTCAACTATTTGTTTTGAGCTTTACTTGGAAAAGTCTGTATGAACAGAGACCAACTCCTCCACCCCAATCTTTTAAAAAAGCTACGAACCTTTCTTACAGGACTGCAGCCCCATCATATGGAATTTTCTCTCATTTCCTGACACCCCAATAAATCATGGTCCAGTTAAATGGAGAATATCTAAACTTGTTGGGGCATAAACTCATTCCTAGATGTTAAATATTGGTTAAATGAATAGTTGATTAATCTCATGAATTCTTATTGGTTAGTTGACTATTCTATAGTCCTCGGGGATGGGGCTGACAGCCAGTGCACTCTGGCCCCACTCCTGAGGAGCCCCCCGTCAACCCGCGCTGCTGCATCTCTATCAGAGGCAGCAGCGCGGAGTGCCACGTAGGAGCTGGTCTGCTAGGAGAGTCAGTTTAAAACCCCGCTCCCCTCAGGGACTAGCTGCCTGCCACCCTGGGTTATTGCCTCTGATAGTGACGCAGCAGTGCAGAGTGGCAGGGGACTCCTCGGGAGTGGATCCAGAGCAAGCTGGAACTGAGCCAGGCTGCCTGCCGGCCTGGCTCCTAATACACTTTAAATGCAGACCTGTAGCGGAGGTAGGTCCTGGACCTGGCGCAAGCCAGGACAGAGCTGGGCTGGTGGCCAGCCTACTAAAAAAATGTACTGGTGGGGGGTGAAATGCGTGTAGTCTATAGCATTAACATATAAGCTTTTGCTTACTGGTTTATCAGTTAATCAACTATCCTATTACATCCCTACTCCTTCCCATATTATAGAAACATAGAACTGAAAGGAACCTTGAGAGGTCATCAGGTCCAGTCCCCTACACTCATGGCAGGACTAAGCACCACAGACCATCCCTGACAGGTATTTGTCTTACCTGCTCTTAAAAATCTCTAGTAATGGAGATTCCACAACCTCCCTAGGGTATTTATTCCAATGCTTTATTCCTAACTATCAGGGTGGTTTTTCCCAACGTTGAACCTAAACCTCCGTTGCTGCAATTTAAGCTCATTGCTTCTTGTCCTATCAGAATTTAAGGACAATCATTCTTCTCCCTCCTCCTTTTAACAGTCTTTTGGACATTTGAATGCTGTGATCATGTGCCCTCTCCATCTTCTCTTCTACACTAAACAAACCCAATTCTTCCAGTCTTTCCTCATAGGCCACATTTTCTAGACCTTTAAACTTTTTTTGTTGCTCTTCTCTGGATCTTCTCCAATTCATCCACATCTTTATTGAAATGTGGCACCCAGAATTGGACAAAATACTAGTTGATGCCTAATCAGCACAGAGTACAGTTAGGGATGTAAGCGACTGGTTGACTAATTGACTATCCGATAAGTATAAGCTTATCCGATAGTTAACTAGTGATGTGATTAGTTGCTTCTCCCCTCTTGCTGCCTCTATCAGAGAGGCACAGCAAGGAGGGGGAGCGGGAGCTTGGTGGAGCTGGCTTAAACGCCAGTCCCCCCCGCACTGTCTCTGCGGGGGGCAGAGGAGGTAGAGGTAAGCAGGAAACAGCGCAAGTGGGGACTGAAGCAGTCTCCACTCACTCTGCTTCTGCCGTGATTTTGCTTTTGAAATGTCCAAGGGCTCTTGAAGATTTCAAAGGCTGCAGGGAGCACTAAGCCAGTAGGAGTTCCCCACTCCCGGCGGGGAATCTGCTTTTGAACCACTGGGGCTCTTGTACATTTCAAAGGCTCAGGTTGCCACAGGGAGCAAAGGGCCAGTCCCCCACTAGCCCTGCACTCCCTGCTGAGTTTCTGCTTTTCAACTGTAGCGAGAGCCCAGCAGAGCTCTTGCTACAGTTTAATGACAGAGGTGCCCTTATTGACTAATTGAACAGTCGATGAAAATACCAATGACTAGTCGATTAGTTAATCAATCTAAATTGAACACCCCTAAGTAGAGTATAAAAATTACTTCTCGTATCTTGCTTGTAACACTCCTATTATGCATCCTGGAATCATGTTTGCTTTTTTTGCCACAGTGTTACACTACTGACTCATATTTAGCTTGCAAAATCTCTAGATCCCTTTCTGCAGTGCTCCTTTCTACGCAGTCATTTCCCATTTTAAAATGGAGATATACCTATCTCATAGTGCTGGAAGGGACCTTGAGAGGTCATTGAGTCCAGTTCCCTGCCCTCACAGCAGGACCAAGTACTATCCCTGACAGATTTGCCCCAGATCCCTAAATGGCTCCCTCAAGGACTGAGCTCACAACCCTGAGTTTAGCAGGTCAATGCTCAAACCACTGAGCTATCTCTTCCTCCTCCCCCCCACCCCAATGTGTGTGTGAAACTGCATATATATTAAGAGTGCTAGTAGTGTTCATGGGTATATTTCAACTACAGTTTACCCTTAGGAAACTAGATAATTAAATACATAGCAGTCTCATACATCATGCACCACACATTCATTTGGTTGATAGTATAAACATCAAAGTGTTCTAAAAGTTAGAATTGTTTTGTAGTTTACTATTTACATAGGGATTGTCTCAAGAGTCATATACCCCAAAATGCAGGCACATGCAGAATTATAGGCTAAATTTCCAAAACCTCTGACATGAGTGAGCATTGGAGTTGTTCAGCACTACCGAGAAAGAAATCCGCCAATGACTTTAGGCACTGTCAACAGAGACTCTCAGGCAGCCCCTGAAGTTTAGAGTGGGCAGGAAGTCTGCAGTCCATCCTGTCCTTTGGAGACCTGTTTCAGAGCCTGAGGTTAAGGATACACAGGTCCTTGATTGGGAATAGAGAGGTTTATCACCTATGCCACTGTGGGAATAATGGTACTTCCCTTGTACTATAAAGAATATAAAATACCAAAAGAAAAATCCTTCCCAGTGAGACTATGTGCGCCAATTCCAGCCTGGAAAGAATTTTTATTGTTCAGTTATGAACCCAATCAAATTCGATTTAAGAGAAGTTTGGGGATTAGTTTAACTCAAGTATCATAAACACATCAGCTGAATTTTGGGGTCATCTTTTACAGTCCTTCTAGAAGTTCTGAACTGTTGCACAAAAGTTTTTTCCCCCTTTAAGGGAAAAAAATCATAGTTGGTATTGAACAGAATTGTTCAACGGTTTTCCTGCTAGCACTTAAATCTGTAAATATAACCATGTTCAGTTGTCAATATCTTGCTCTCAACATGTGGTGTGGCAGAGCAAATTTATACCATTCTTGATATCACAGCTTTTATAACAGATGTTATTGCAAAAAGGCTGTGCACATCCTACAATTTAAAGGTGAATTCAGTAGTCTACTAATAAAAGGTGTAAGGAGCCATATTATCATACACGTATGCTTGAAATTAAGTATCTTCCAAGGCTTAGGGTGAAATCCAAGCCTCACACTGTGAATGGCAAAAACCCATTAGTTTCAATGGGGCCAGGATTTCATCTCCAGTATCTCAATTCTCAAACTCAAATAGTGATGTATTCTAACTTCTAAGTTTGTATTATAAGTAGAAAGGAAATCTACTTTCTTCTCTTTTCCCAGGAAAAATAAAATAAAAAAAGCAATATCATCTTAATGGCGTCACAACTTTTAGGCATCAACTTAAAGCAATTTAATTTTGCTTCCATAAAAATCAAGTCAAATTTAAAGGACTGGTTGCTGACACATTTTCTTGAAAACATGCTAAAGGCTTTCTGAAAATGACACTTTAAAAATCTGAGATACAAGGTCAGTTAGTTATATATTACTAGGACTTTGCATTTACAAACAAGATTCCAGTGTGGTATTTTTATAGGGAAAGGAGGAATCATGAGAAGTGCTACTCATGTTGATGCCGGTCAAACAAACTCTTCATGAAAATCTAGTCAGCCAGGCTCATTTATATTAGTGACGGATTGGAACCAAGATCTTTTCTTTATTAATACCTAGGGCAGTCAATTTTTGAGTTAATTACATGAGTTAACTGCAGTTAAATCGGTAGCACTATTAATGCCATGTTAAGACTTCAACAAAGTAATGCATATAGATATTAAATGTGCTAAGTTGTAATCTTTACCTACCTTGCGCATATAAAGTAAGAACAGCCTGAATGGCGACATATACCCCAGAAAACTGGTATGTCTCAAACATTACCTGAAAAATAAACAAAATCCAACAACAAAACTTAGTGTCCAAATAAGAAGATTCTTTAAAGTTTTATAGCAGCTTAAAAGAAAAGTTTACATTTACTGTGATTATTAGGCGATCGATATAATGGGGTATTATTTTGCTACCGTTATTGGACAAATATTTTGTAGCATTATGTTGTTGCAAGCTGTGGCAACAAATACATGCTTTGATTCTTTGTACCCATCAGTAGCTTCCTATAATAATTGGATTTTACACAACTATTCAGGTTCTTTTTTATAAACTGCAGAAAAATTTATTTCCCTCTAACAAGCAACACCTAAACAGTTGCTCATACATGCAAATGAGAGGAACTAGCAGTTGTAGGTGTGTCAGTCCAAGGACATGAGAGAGAAAAGGTGGGTGATAGAATATTAGACCAAGTTCTGCTGGTGACAACATAAAGTTACAGATTGTTGTAATAAGCCAGAAATCGGTGTGTCTAGTCAGTTGATGATTTTTAGTGTCTAGCAAAGTTGTGAATTTAAGCTCCCAGGCTCATCTTTGGAAAGTCTTGTACAGATTTCCTTTGAGGATGAGGACTGGTAAGTCAGACAGAGCGATCACTTTGTGAAAAGTATTTCACTCACAAGAAACAGTGTTTTTGTGTTTTATCATTTTCCTGTCTGGTTTCATCCACATAATTGTTATTGTGGCATCCGGCGCACTGGATGAAGTATATCGCATGTAGTGACAGTCATGTGTAGAGCCCACAGATCTCGAAAAAACGGTTACTAATCTTTCTGTGACAGATGTTTGAGATGTGTTGCTCACGTCCATTCCCCAATAAATGGCCACGTGCACTGTTGCCAGAGATTTCCTCCCGCCCCCTAGTGGTATCCTTCGATCCAGCTCTAGTGCCACCTGGTGTTAGGCGCTTATGTGCTAGCATAACGGGGATGCTAGTCTCACACCTTCTCACTTCTTTCTTGCCAATTAACTCTAACAGAGGAGCAGGAGGATGGATTGTGGAATGGACATGAACACTATTTCTTGAAGAACAGTTACAGAAAGGTTAGTAACCATTTTTTCCTTCGAGTGCTTGCTCATGTCCATTCCACATTAGATGACTCACAAGCAGTACACTAGGAGATGAGCTCAGAATGTATGGACATTTGAACCATAACAGCTCTCCCGAACCTGGCGTTGTCTCAAGCCTATGGAGCAAGGACTTTGTAGGGTGAGAAGTTATGCACTGATGACCAGGTTGCTGCCCTTTAAAAGTCTTGGACTGGAACCTGTGTAAGGAATGCTGTTCAAGAGGTTTGAACTCCCATGGAGTGAATGGTTATGATAGCCAGAGATGGGACATCTTCCTGCTTATAACATTCCCAAATACAGAGGTTATTCAGGATGAGATTATTTGGGCCAATGCTTGTAGGCCTTTCATCCTTCCTGCTACTTCTACAAAGAGTTGCATGGATCTGCAAGTATGAGAGGGGAAGCCGTGTTAGTCTGAATATCCATAAACAACGAGAAGTCCTGTGGCACCTTATAGACTAACAGATTTATTGGAGCATAAGCTTTTGTGGGCAAAGACCCATTTCATCAGCTGTATCTTTGCCCACGAAAGCTTATGCTCCAATAAATCTGTTAGTCTATAAGGTGCCACAGGACTTCTCGTTGTTTATGGATCTGCAAAAAGATTTAGTCCTCTTGATGTAGAACAGTGGTCTCTAACCTTTTTACACCCAAGATCACTTTTTAAGTCTCAGAACAGGTGAAGATCTACTGCCCCGCCCCTTCCTTGAAGCCCCGCCTACATTACATGAGGAAATCTAATGTAAATGTACTGTGCAGGTGCGCAGTTCAGAGAGGGCTCAAGAGCTACTCTTAGAGCCCCTGAGATCTACCGGTAGATCGCAATCTACTGGTTGGTGACCACGGATGTAGAAGGTGAGGGCATACCTATCTTCCAATGAATTAAGCTGCTGCTTTTCTGAATTCTTGATAGATTTTGGGAAGAAGAATAGTTGGAAAATGATCTGGTTACTATGGAACAGCAAAACCACCTTTGGCAGGAAGACTGGGTGGGAAGACAGTTGAACCTTGTCCTTGAAGAACACTATAGTGCTGATATAAAGGCCTTGATTTCAGAAGGCATGACGACAGTGGTTCAAAAGGAGCACCTACGAGCCTCGATGGAATCAGACTTAAATTTGAGGGGAGGGGAGGGAAGTGGGGAAAAAAAATCAACTCTCAGACCTGAGGGAAAAGGACAGGCCTTTAAGAAAGTTCATTTCATAAGAGAACACTAACCAGAGGTTACTCTCAGAAATTACTATTAAAATGCACCTTGATAAATATGAGGGCCAAAGCCTATTGTTTAAGATGGAACAAATAATCCAGGATAGACTGAAAGGAAGATGAGTCATAAAGAGGTCTTGTTGAGACGCCTATATCAAGAAATGCTTCCATTTAGCAAGGCAGATAGCCCTAGTCACAGTGGATGGTTTCCTACTACCCAGCAAGACCTGTCAAACTTGTTCTGAACATGCCTGCTCCTCCAAGATTAGCCATGTAACATCCACACAGTTAGGTGAAGGGAGCTGCGTTCGGGTGGAGAGATCAGGGCTGTGCAGAGCAGAAGTGGAGTTGCTACTGATATATCTAGCAGCGTGTCAAACCAGCACTGGGGTAGCCATACCAGGCCTAACAAAGTAATTCTTGCCTTGTCCTGTTTGATTTTCAGAAGGACTCTATTCTCTGAACTGGAAAAAGTCAATTTTGGCTAATTTATAAACAGGAGCAGCACTCCAAAGGTGGCTTGGACCAGGTTCATGCTGTTTTCTTTACTTGAACCTCTATATGACCCTGGATCAGTCACTGAGGTACAAGGCAGACCTGAATGCTTCTTTGTCTGAGGAAGGCAGCTACAGCTACCATGCACTTCATGAACATCCAGAGGCTGTGGACAGGACGAATGGAAGAGCAGTGAATGGATGAATCTAGTTTATAATAAACTTGAGAAAACAGAGGTTACTCTCAGTGTCCCTGGCCTCCATCATTCCCTCTCTGGATCCAGTGGACCACCCTTGACTTTCAGGGCTTTAGGGTACAGCTACATGGCAATATTATTTCAAAATAACTAGCATTATTTTGAAATAACTTTGTCCGTGTCTACACAGCAGGCAGTTATTTCAAAATAATGTCAAAATACTGTCAAGCTGGAGGACTTCTTACTCTGACTCCTGTAACTCTCATTGTACAAGGAGTAAGGGAAGTCAGAGGAAGAGCGCTCTATTTAGAAATAAGTGCTGTGTAGATGCTCCCAATTTCAAAATAAGCTACACAACTGATGTAGCTCAATTTGTGTAACTTATTTTGAGTGAAGCCCTGCTGTATAGATGCACCCTTACTTTCATATTTCTATCTTCCATGGCCACAGAAGGTTTTCACTGGATCCAGAGAGTGGACACTGAAAGTAACATGTTTCTTGAGACAGCTGTTGAGTCAACACAGATCCATGATCAGACAAAGGCCTCCTTTTGCCTTTGCAATTAGGAAATAACTGAAGTAAAACCCCTTCCCTCTTAAGTTTCAAGGTACCTCCACCATGGCCCTCATCTGTAGGAGGGTCTGCACCTCCTGGGCAAGGAGTTGCTAGTGAGAAGGTCTACTTGGACTCACCAAAATACTTATGAGATCCTAGCTGGGAGGCTGAGGTGTATGGAAGCAGTTGATGGTGCTTGTATCCTCTACATTCCTGTCACTTTCTGATGCTCACCTATTTTGACTCATTACTTCAAACTTTTTTTGTGCAATACATAGAAATAAGACCATGCAGCTGAAATGTAACAAATTGGGCCAGCCCCTTACAATAAATCCACACAGCGCAACCAACTGCGAGCATCTAAGCCAGTATCGCAAGCTATTTTCTATAGCTCTGCCTTCCTGTTCTTTGTGAAGACAGAATAGAACAGTGTGGCCAATTCCTGATTTTATCATCAGTCTCTCAATATTTGGTGTTTTTCTTAAAGCTCCAGCTCATGGAATGAGGAGACTGTGTGAGATTCTAAGGTTTCATTATAAAAAGAAAAGCAAATTGTATGGTTGTGAAGAAAATCTTGAATATGTAAGTGAACATATCCTAAAGCCTGAGAAGTCAGATAGTAAAGAACCTAGAAATGGCTATTTAAAAATAGTAATGTAAATTTCTGAAGCCTTGCTAAGGATTCTTAAATTATATAAGATTTAAAGAAAGAAATGTATATTTCATGTAACACAAAATAAAGGTAACTTTTTTTTCAAACATTTTAATATCCTGCTGCAATAAGCAAGTATAAAAGACACAGACTTCCTGGATGATTTTTAAAAAGCAATATGTTAAAGTTAGCCACAGTTTAAATTGCACTGCTAATGAATCACATTTAATTATACCTTGCTAACATATACTGTTCTAAGAAACAGCACTCATCAAAACGTATACAAGTAAAATATCAAAGAGTTCTTACTCTGCATCCTAGTTCTCCTAAACTACATAATTGTATTTTAATGGTTAATTGCTAATTTGCCTTTAGCTTATAAGTTTAAATACAATTTGACTATGTAAAGAAAAAGACTCTACAGACATTGTAGGACAGTGCTTCACTGAGTGGTTTTTTACCTGTTTACAGTGAAGGCAAGAAAGCCTGAGTGAACAAAATCCCCGGTTTATTACATCCATGAGTCAGAAGTGATTGGCCACTACCCCTTGTCTCAATATGCTTTTACCAGAACAGAAAAAATGATAAGATTTCAGTAGCTTTGAGCATTACAGGCTGATTAAACCAGAAATGCTCTGACAGCTGACTATTTAAAACATACAGCTCCAGGAAAAAAATGGCATTTCACATCTTAATTTTAAAAATATCTAAATGAATCAAGCACTGGCTTTTTCTAACTTCTCCTTGGCACTGTTTCAAAAACTCTGCTGTCAACATGGCTCAAATGAAAAGACTGGCCCCTTTCACAAATTTCTTCCTTCAAGTTAAAACTAGGGATATAAAATCCCAGTTTAAAAGTTTACTGGTTAAACAGAATGTTAAACATTCTGTTTAATTGGTTCCTGCTGGGCTGAAGCACCACCCTCTCCCTCAGATAATGCTGTGACACTTAGTTGGATTTTAAAAATAAAGTAACTCCAGTATACTTGGGAATGGCTGCAGAGATCTTGGCATAAAAAGTGAGATCTCGTGTGGTTAAAAATTGATTATCCAAAGCCAACTGCAAAAAAAACTGGAAGGCTCAGCATACGTTTTTCTAAAACACTTGCATGAGCCATATATACAGAAAGACAGAAAATCAAGGAGGAAGTAAAAATAAAAATATCAGGTTGTGGAACTGACTGAACTATGCAATGTGGAAGACAGCTTGTTAGAATAACTAGTCACCCTGAACATTCAGATATGTGCAGGATAACACAGGTTAGCAGTAAGGTACTATAAATGCCACGATTTAATGTGCTCAAACACAGTAGTTTAGTAAGTTAGAAGGCAGAAATGATGTTTTACCTCAAAAGGGAGCGTGGGAAAGAACAGCAAACAAAACAAGAAATTGAGCTTCTAAACCTCAGCTGACACAGAATTATTGCTGTTCCCAATCTGTAGGATTCTACTGCTCATAAAATGAGCCAAAATTGTAATGTGAGAAAGGTATGTAACAATATCTATCTGCCAATAACCAGAGTATGCACACGGGATTAATTACTGCATTTGCACGTTCCAGTATATCCCTGATATTACGGGAAAGATATACTTTTTGCAGAAAACACACACGGTTTTAGTTTTTAACTATGCTTATTTCAGACACTTTAGACTCATTTTGTTTGACATCTGTAACTGCAGTCTCACCACATGCATGGCACACACCACATCTGACAGATCTGATCACCAAATAGCGACAAGAATATTCTCCTCAACAGAAGTCTTTGCTTCTATTGAAATTGTTTTGGTGCCAGTCCAATGTCTCTCTCCAAAAAGGGCAGGAGCCCAATGATAAAGCATTGGAAGCTAGAAAAGAGAATGATCCAGAAATTACACAAAGGAGTTGTAAGGGGTGACCAGAGACAGTTCCATCAGCACAGAAAGAGACACGATTGGGCAATTCCAAAAAGGGGATGTTACAGGTGTGGGAATGTAATGGATGCCCAGAGATAGAAAAAAGTTGTCCCATGACATTTTCCATCTTGCTCCATAGGTGCTGGAATTTTCAAGTTTTAAAACCCCTGAGTTTTATTTATTTATAGGAGAAAATTATGGTAGTCTCCGTAAGAAATGAACAGTCAGTTCATTAAAAGCAGAGAAGTGGCTGCCATTTTTAACGCCACTAATGAAGGAATGAAGAGAAGTGACAGACCCACTGTGTTATGTCAATAGTGATGCACAGATGATATCAGAGAGGAATACAAAAAAGGTCAGAGACGAATAACGGAAGCCAAGCAGACCAAAATAAGCTTTTAGGATTTATCGGGATATGTTAAGTGCACACAGTCAAAATGACTTTACATAAAAACGTATTTAAATTAGTCATTTGCTTAAGGATTTCATGATAAATATACCAGAATTATTATAGCTTCAGTATATATTATGAAATTCTTAACTCAGTCTTCCATTTTATTATGAATTGGTCTCTCATTCTAGCTTCAAAAATAAGAAAAATTAATACAATTTTTATTCTTTTTTAAAACATTACTATTTAAAAGTAGAACAATTTAATTTTATCATGCTGTCATCCAGTACAAAAGCTGAGATAGTAAACACTAAAGTTTTTACTTCACTCAAAAAACCAATAAGGTGTTTATATAGAAAGTCTGCTACGTCCCACCAAATAAATCACTCTCAGTTCCCTTGTTCATATTCAGTTCTCCGAATTGATATAATAAATTACTGTCTTCTTCTCCCCAATAAATTCTCTGAAACAACAGGCTTATTGAAAACACACTTCAGAAGTTATGGTGAGGTCTGACAAGATAATTTTGTAATAGTATAATCACAATACCCTCTTTGGATAAACCAGAAAAACAAAAACCAACCACACCTTGATATCTGAAGGGATGAGAAACTTGATTAGGAAATTCAAACATTCGTGCCACAAAGGAAGCAATATATGTGTTAGAACTGTTCAGTCTGTCTATCGTACCATATTAGTCAGTCAGGAGTGTATCTGATAAGACAGACATTACTAGCTAACTTCATGTTTCATATCTGTTAAGACTAACATTCTACAGACTCTTTGAAAGTTTTCGGTTAAAATATCTTTTTAATAATCACTTTAGTCCTGCAGCAAAGTCTCTGAAAGAGGACGTTATCAAGATGTTCTCTGCTACATCTGAAACTATACTGAATATTTACATTAACAGCTGCCTATGATACTGGAATAATAAGGGACAGAAAGACAACAAATGTTATGCTATTCTTACATTCCTATTTTTTTCTACACTGCAAGACTTTGTGAGAGATAATTATTAAAAAAAGGAATAGTATGAAGAGTCATTTATTTTATATGAGGCACATGCCCAGCTCAGTCAGTGCAGGACTGGGGGTACAGCATAAGGGTATATATACAATCTAATTAAAAACTCACCACTGGCCTGTGCCAGCTGAGGGTCTGTTTAGTTTTACTGTAGACATCTGACTTTAGATATGCAGAACTACTTGAGCGTCAGTGCCTGACTCAGTGGTTTCCTGGTACAGAAGCTTACATTAGACTGCCAATCTGTTTAGCCTTTGGACTAAGTAGGTTTGTTTGCCCTTTGTAAAGTAAGAAGCTGACTATTCTGGGCTGAGATAAATTTCTGTTTTCTGCACGGAAGACTGTTACCATGAGGGGTTTTCCTATATTTAAATAAAAAAGCAGTGACCTCAGACACAATTTAGTGACTACCATCATCAGTTCTGCCTCACCACAAATAGGTTTTCCTTATTCAAGTCAAGAAACATACCTCTACAATCTTCTCCCTGTTTTTTGTTGGGTTCATGGGAGGCTCTGTCAGTAGTATTTTACAGTTTTGCGTGTCGATGTTAAGTTTTTCTGGTCCAAAAGTGTAGTCCCAGAGGTGCTTCATATCATCCCAGTTCCGGACTATGCCATTCTCCATTGGGTAGTTAACTTCCAACATTGAGCGTAATTCACTTGCTTCATCACCAACCATAAGATCCTATAAAATCACAGTACTGAAGTTTGTATGTCAGTTTGCAAGGATTGTCATTATTCTTTACCAGTTTTTGATGTTAAGAATATAAAATATTCCGACTTGCTTCTGATTATATGTACTTAATGGCCCATGCCCTGAAATTAGTTGTTATATACTTGAGTGAAAAGTAGTGTTTGCCTGACAAAATATTTAATCTGGCTGAGACCCATACAAGATCTTTTAAAACAATCCACACTTGGAAGACTTCACACTCTTAAATTAAGCTTACCTGATTAACAAGCTACTCTCCATTTTGTCACAGTGGAACAATAAAGAAATCTAAGTGTGTATAGATTTTTATTCACTGAGGTTACTTTTATTCACAAAGGTTATTTTATCAGGTACTCACTTGAACAGGTTAAGATATGAAAAAAAAACCAAACACATAAAAGGTAGTAGGTGGGGCTGGCAGAAAAATTTTCCATGCATGCTGGAAGTTTCTATGCACAATCCCAAACCAGGAATAATGAGAGCTGCATAAGCATACAGAACAAGTAGCAAAAGCAAATAAGAGACTGGAAATACCACACTAAACATTACATTAAAAAGGGTTTAAAGTCTATACCAGTAGAGTTTTAAGAGGATAGTTAAAAAACTGATATATATCCCTTTTATTGTGCATCTAAAACAAAACAAAAAAACCTATCCCAGAATGATACTTCATACAAAATATATACATTAGCCAGTTGTGATTTATAGAATCAATTTCTAAACTGATTGTATAAGAAACCCCTTTCTTTTTCCATAGGCAAGTTCTGAGGGAAGTGTGCACAATGAAATGTTACCTTTGTTTCTCATCTTTTTCCAGAAGAGCCTTAATATCTGACTTACCACCATAATTAAAGAAATGAATTAAAATACACCCTCTTTTTAATGACTGTATTTCTATAAAATCTAGAAAAACAGTATGTTTCATTATCATAAAATTTAAGTACAATGAAATAGCTGCTTTTGACCAAATATTCTACTGCAGAGTTTGCTAACCAATCACTGAGAGGTGACGGTGACTCATATTCTCTGTTTACATGAATAAACAAATGTAAGACATAATGAAAAGCAAACTGGAATTTTTAAATTATTTTTAGTTTTAATGATCTAAGAAGTTACTAGCAACTGATAAAGTAATTTTATGACATGATTTTAAGTTCAGTCCCCTAATCTGTTTTCTTAGTTTTATAAAAAAAATGTCATGAAATAGAATGGGCTATTTATGTCAAAATTAGAAACCTAAGCCCCTAAACTTGAAGAATATCATTATTTGCTAAACTTTCTCAATCAACATACCACTAAGTAACCATACAACTACATCAGTTCTATCACAAAAAAATTATAAAATTCTGATTTCATTTAAGAATCGCTAGTTAAAGAAGAAACACCTGAAAACTGTTCTGCCCATGGTTAGAAGAGGACAAAGCAAAGGAACAGCTATGATCATCTTCTATCTTCATTATTTTGTTAGATGAAGCATTTTCTAGGGTTAACATTAAATTCATGTTGATCTTATAGAAAAATGACTTATTCTTGCATCTTTACATAACTATAGGTCGTATCACATTCAGAAGCAATATACATGATTCTTTGAAAATTAGTTACTACTAAATCAAAGCAATGAACAACGTTTAAACTAAGTAATCAAAACAAAATGTGGGACAAGACAAAACATTAAAAAGCATCAAAATAATGCAACGGATACTATGTTTCACACAGCAAAAAATGGGAAACAAACAGGGGTCACCTCACTTACCATCTTTTTGTTATTCTACTTCAACAGGTCAAGAAATGTGAAGAAAGAAGGTAGAAGCAAGAGAGTCAGAAAAGGCCTAAAGGAAATCCTCTTTCAAATTATTTTAAGCACATAGATATAAAGTAGAAAAGAGATGTAAGTGTTCTGAGGTAGTGTAGTTAAGGCTAAAAGCTAACACTGACAATGACACTGATGTGCTTCTCAGAAGCCATTTCTGTTTGTGATTAACTTTTTCCAATAGTTTAGTGGCTCACATATTCCCCATTTTTCTACAATATGCTATTGATATATCCTATTAACATGGAATTTTATACAATGTGACTGGTAGAGCTAGAGTAGACTAGGTGGTGCTTTTGGAAGTAACAGATGCCAACACATTGCTACCAGAGTCCCTGCTTTCCTCAGCCCATTTTCCTCCCTCAAAGTATTCATCCTTTCACAACCCTTGGAGTTGAAATAGTAATATAACAGTTATAAAAATATTAAGCTAAAAGAGAAACCTGCAAGTTCCTTTGTACTATTGAATTACGTAAAAGCCAATGAAATCAATTTGATAATGTGCATACATTTATATTTTTATTTATTAATTAATTCTAACTGAATCAAGTGCTCGAGAAGTGATACATCAATAGCAGTGACCTGAAAAAGGTACAGTGAAGGCAGATGTGTGCAAAATCCCTACACAGCTGAAAATCTCATTCCTGCCATGCCGGCACCCTGATATGCTAGAGAGGGACCAGAAGAATTAGCAGCCACTGTGGTACACTGCAAGATACATACTTTTGTGGACAAGCAGGGACTAGGATACCATTTTTACTTGTGACCTAATCCAGAATCAAAACCCAGATCTCCTCAGTCACCAACTCTTCCAATAGCATACTAGTAAGAAAAATATCAGCTCCATTAAGGCATGTTTACTTGCTTTACTTACAAATCAGAATGATATTAGGACAAGTACTCTGCATATGCAGCTGCCAGAAAATCCATATTCAGCCATAAGATATGCAACTTCAACTACATGAATAATGTAGCTGGAGTCAATGTACTTTAGGTCAAGTTACTGTGGGGTCAACAGGAGAAACTCTCCCATCAACTTACCTTACTCTTTACATCAAGGGTGTAGTACAGACATCAGCAATCGATCTGGCAGGTCTTTACTAGACCTGGTAAATCAACCACTGGTGGATCAGCCTCACAGTATGGATCCCCGCTGTAGTGTAGATGTACCCTCAGTAGCAGATAGGGATGTAAAATTTCAGTTATCTGGCTAATCAAATAGTTGATTCAATTTGCATCGACTACTCGATTAGTCAATAAGGGCACTTCCGCCTTCAAAGGCAAAAGCACTGTGGGGAGCATGGGTCCAGCGGGGAACTCGAGCAGTCCCCAGCTGGCCCCGGGATTCTACCCAGAGCTGCCGCTTTGAAACACCGCATGGATCCTGACGCCGGACTCCCCGCGGCGTCACAAAGCAGCAGCATCGCATGGAACCTGAGGTCATCTGGGGGACTCACAGCTAGTCCTGGGCTGCATGCAGCATTTGAAAGTGGCAGCGCGGCATGGAGCCCGGGGTCTGGCCTAAGGCTCCACTGCCGCTTTGAAGCACCATCCCCTCTTCTGATAGAGGCAGCAAGGGGGTGGGGGGAAGCAACTGGATAGTCGATAGGCTAGTCAACTAGCCAATAAGCATTTGCTTATCGGACAGTCAACTAGTTGTTCATATCCCTAGTAGCAGGAGGAACACAAGGTGAATGCTATGTTCTCCGCCCACTCAAAACCTATTCCAAAGAGGCATCCCTAAAGATGATCTATCAAAATCTATTTCTGATCCATCAAAACCAAGAGGAAACATAACACAGTTTAGGCTCCCTAAACCAACCATTTTTACCAAACCAGTTTAAAAAAAAAAAAGAGCTTACTGAAGGCAGTTTAGAAGCTAGTTAAGTAAAACTGGTTTAAGCTGCCAGGGGCCTGGTATCCACTCCAGCTTCAAGCAGTTTTAAAATCAGTTTCACTCAGCAGATTTTAACTGGCTGGAATTTTGGGAGAAACTTTTCCAGTGAAAAAACACACCTTTGTATGCATGCACCTGTGATGTAGCTGTCTCCCCTTATCCACAGTCCTCATTTGCTTTCCAGACAAAATAATGGGCAAGGGAGAGATAAGCTATTTTTAGACCCCATTTTAGGGCTCATTTCATTCAATTTCTGAGTTTGGCTAGTTTTTCTGAATATTTTTGAAGAGCTAAACTGACAATCTTCTTGTCAATTTCATTTGCTCAAGGGTCTTTCTGAATGAGCCAGAATGCTCTTTACTGTGTAGCTGGAATTGTTCCATTCACATTTTAGGATAATTTATTTGCCAAAAATATCTCTCTAAGAAAGCAGCAAAAAATAACATCCAAAGGGGAAAAAATGGTCTCCACACTGTCTCATTGTGTTTTTTTAGTGAATTTATCTTACATATTCACCAAAAAGGAAGATCAGAGACTGATCAGTAGGAGAATAGCTTGCTTCTCCCAACCTGTTTTTTTTTTTTGGGGGGGGGGGGGGAGGATGAGGTGGTGGGCCTTGTTTGATAGCAACTACAATAAAATAGAAAATATTTAGGAATTAAATAGGAGTCCATTCTTCATTAAAAATATTCCTGAGCAATTCCATCTTTAGAAAGGGAGATGTGATGTAAGAGACTAAATGCAAAAAAAACCCATCAATACATAATAGATGAAACTCCCTCAACCCTATTCCAGAGCCTCAACTCATACAAAAATCAAATTCTCGGATGATCAAAGATCATCCAAAGTTGGGCTATCAGCACTGACTGTGCAGGGCTTGAAAAATATATTATACTCATTACTCATAACACTAAAGCTTCTAGTCTAAAATAGAAATGAAGGAGAAAGAAAATGGAGCCATACAAGCAGGAAACTGTTTCAGAACTGCCTATAGGATTTCAAATAGCAGGAATAAAACTGACCAGAATTTTGCTGATTTCACTCTGTCTCTCATAGCTTTGCCAAGCAGCAGCAGAAAACACATGAATTTTATCTACAGACTCATGAAGTTAGTAGCATTGCAGTTTTAAATCTGAAATGCTATCTTTGCAATCAGAAGGGTTAGAAACTTAGGTCTGCACATGCCTCAAACAAGATTTTCAACTCAATGCTAGTGATTAGAATTTTTTCAAACCTGGAATATCAAAACATTTTGAGACTGTCATCTCCTCAGACCAGGGATGGTCTCACTATTCTGTGTAAAGTGCACATCAGTATATAAAACATAATGAAAAATAGATACAAGCAAAGTTAGGCATCTCATACAAGTTCAGATGGTCTTGACTACAACTAATTGTATACTAAACAGTAACAATTATAGGTTATTATATCCATGATTCATCATTGTCCCAATCATGTACTGAGACTGGATAGCAAGGATCAGCATTCCACCATCCTATCTTATTTCCCCAAATCCTTTATCAAGATCTAAGAGTCCCAGACCCTTACAGTCAGCTTCCATTAATATTAACCTATCCTTCTGCACACCACATAATGACTCCAAAAAGGTGCAAATGCTAAAGCTCATTACTTGAGCACAGCACAGACTGCTAGAGGAGGCACGATAAAAGAAGGAGAAAGTACTTTCAAGTATTGTAGTAGAACCTCAGAAGTATGAATACTTGGAAATGGAATTTGTTCTCAATTCTTAAATGTTCATAACTGAACAAAATAGGATATTCTTTCAAAAGTTCACAACTGAAGGTTGACTTAATACATCTTTGAATCTTCACTATGCAAAAAAAATGCTATTTTATCTGTTCCGATTTCATTGAGATAAGTATAGAAACAGTTTCCTTACCTTGTCAATGTTTTTTAAACTTACCCCTTATTTTTAGTAGTTTACACTTAAAACCATACTGTACTTCGTCTGCTTTTTTTGTTTGTTTGTTTCTACCTGACTGCATACTTCCAGTTCCAAATGAGGGATGCAATTGATTGGTCAGTTCATAACTCTGGTATTCACAACTCTGAGGTTCTACTGTGTACAACTGAAAGACTACCCTGAATGCGGTCAAATGTTACAGGAAAAATATTACCTTGATTTCAATGTTTCCCACTTTGGCAGTTGATCTTATAATTGGTCTTCCAACCAAAGCTGGAAAGATGTGCTCTGGGAAATTTGAGCCTGCATACCCACATTTCACAAACTGAAAAGAAAAAAGTTGAATAATTTGAATAGTTAATATATGCATCGCATTTGTTTATTACTATTAAAAATATTAGTCGTTAAAGGGAAATTTTGAAATACCAGTAAAGAATTTAACAAGGGTGCCAAAGACTTCAAGGTCTTAATATAATTCTGAATGTCCAGAATGAAGCAGTTTTAAACAAGATTTGGGTTTTGGAATACAGTGACTTCAGCCTGCTTAGTTCCAGGGCAAACACACAATTAACAATCCTTTTATTAAAATTACAGAGAAGGAAAAACAGTAAAAGCAATTGAAATATAAAGTATAAATAAGGCTCTCATTTTAAAAACATTTCTTGCACCCTTTCCCTTTAGCTGAAGAAAGTTTTTAGAAGGAAAAAAAATCAGCCTCTTCGATTGCATTAAAAAGAGGGAACTTCTTAAGATAGTAACTACTGTTCTTTTGGGAAAAAAGAGAAGAAATTAGTTGAGATGGGCTGGAGCTATTATTTCTGTCGATAAAGCCCAATCAGTCTCATGTCCCAGGCAACGTTTGGGATGAGAGACTAGTCTGGGCAGAGATATCATTTGGTCCAGTTTGGTCAGAACATCTTTCAGGATTAGGATAAAGAAGGTCTGAGCTCTCAGGATATAATAGGGGTAAAAGCTATGAGGGTAAAGCTCACTCCAGTGGCTATTTTTTCTCCCCAGTCTCTTTCTTTAAGGACCTCAAAAAGGAATGATGGCTAGAATTGTCCATTATTTTATCCACCAATTAGGTCTAATTTCTAATATACCAATTTTGGTATATTGGTTTCTGTCTGCTTCCACACTTTTCTTGTTTACCAAGCAAGATCTTAACACAGTTCTCAAGTAATATTAGTAGGCCTTTTTGCTTGAATTAATTCAGTATCTCCCACTTTTGTACCTTTTCCCACCAATATTTGGGGTCAGCAATTATTGTGGCATTTAACGAATATACACTCACTTTTTATAGTTGAGCTCACAATTAGGGTAAATTTGTAGGACTAAATGCACTTTGACAAACAAGTCTCTGCCTAGAACTTCAACACCCATTTTAAACAGTTTTAGAAACTTTTTAAAGCAAATATCTGAAAATTTTGGAGAGAGACTAAAACTTCCAGTTTCATTTGATAGATATGCACAAGACCTCGGACCTTAACTATATTTGGCACTCCTTCCCCACCATTCTACAACTCAACATTGAAGCTGACATTAATCATCTTTCAAAGTAGTCCTCTGGCAGGAAGAAGCTTATTCCTCAAACTCTTAAGGTTTTTCAGACCAAAGGGGTGTGAATAGCAGCAAAAAACAAAGTGCTGTGTGCTAACTCCCCAGTGTGGATACTGTGGGTGTTAACTGAAAAGTTCTCAGTTCGTACCCCAAACTCAGGACTTTGCAGTTCATAACCACAGTGTCCACAAAGGGGAGTTACAGCATAGTCCTTGTGCCTGGCTAGTCCCGGCCCCTTTGTCCAAACTGCAAGGCTATGTAGACAGGCCCTAAGAATTTGAGAAGAAAGCATTTTTAAAAAGTAAACGTGGAAAGCCACATGCCACTTATAAAAACTTTATGCAAGTCTACATTTTCCAAGATGTGGAACATACTACTCTCGGAAATGGTGTTCTTTTTGTTTTGTTTTTGGAGGAGTGGCCACCCATGGGGAGCAAACAGATTTCAAGTTCTCTCCAGCATTTCTGCTGTGTCTTTAAATACAAAAAGTTTCTAACAATTACGGTTGAGGGGAAAGTCTTCAAAAAGTGATCCAAACAGTTAAAAAATGAACTGGTGCCATAATTTCTGCCTGAATTCTAAGGTATGACCGGTCTTATTAATTTAAATTGATATTAATTTAAATGCCAGTTACGATACAGGCAGTCCTCGACTTATGCGGATCCGCACTTACGAACGGGGCTCTCTCGCCCCGGAGCTCACAGGCAGCGGTCAGCCACCTCGAGCTCCTTGGCGAGAAAAGCTGTTCGCGATGCCCCTGGTCTGCTGGGGACCATCTCTATCAGACCAGGGACACCGCGAGCGAACCCGCAGCAGCGGCGGGTTCCCGCGCTTCTGAGGCTTTGCCAGAGCTGGGCCCCGCTGACCACAGGCACCGGGAGCGAAGCCGCAGTAGCGGCGGGTTCCC